AGAAAAATCGGCGCCTGCATTTAAAAAGCTGACTTTTCAAAGGTGTTTCTTTGAACGGCTGTATCCCAACCTGTGAAATTTCATCTCATACAGCTCCATTCTCGTGAAATGTTAAGAAACGCCGTTGACAACTCAATTGATGATGATAATGCAGAGGCGCCACCATCGGGAGATGCACTCTTAAAAATGAGTCAGGAAATTAACGAGGAAATCTTTGGCAGCTCTATTCTTCGTGAGAATGACGTACCGGCGTCTTCTGAAACTGTGTGAGAAAAGCCATAAAGAAGAGGGGCACTGCTTTCTTCAACTGAAAGTATGTATGTGTAGCATACAAACAGTATGATCAGTGTTCTTCGCGTAATTGATAAGACAGAAATTGAAATCCTACTTATCACTTTATTCAAGTTTCCGAGCATGCCTCACTGTACACTCTCGTTTGTGATGATGGTATGCCATTACATCCTGCGTAAAAAGAGAAGAGAAAATTACCCTATGCCACTCTATGATATAACATCACAAAATTCGCTCAAAGGACCACTATGTGAGGAAGGCAAGATAGTAACAACTTCATCCTGACAAAAGGGCGAGGAAAATCGGATAATATCGTTTCTGAAAACCTGATACCTGAAAGAAGCTCTAACACAGAGTAAAGAAAATGATTGGCATTTTCTTAATGTCTCTTTTTCTTTTGCTGTGAACACACATACATGTCATACGCTATTACACATTCAGTGGTGCGGCTTAATTTCTGATAAGTACTTTTTTTTATATAACTTCGAGCTTTTAGAGAAAAGATTCAATATAATGGGTCGGACATAAATGGTTGCTATGAACTATCCTATATATTTACACATTATCTGATATCATAAAAGCACTAGAGCAGGGTAGGGCTGTACTGCCTCAATTATAAATTTCTAACCAATTAAAAGTTGGCATTTATTTAATTTATTAGTATTGGCTATTATTCTTTGACGAAGAATAACTGGGCGAGTTGGTACGTTGGTAATCTTTCAACTCCATCGAGTATTCAGGTCCTTTTAACATTTTTTTCATGCTTTTGCTTTTTCTAACTGCTCTGCCTTTTGTAGCGGCTTTCGCCGCCACTAAAAAACGTGACATCCAAACTCACTTTATTCACAACACAAAATCGCAAACATGGAAAGCGTGCCGCTTCGGCATACACAAAGAGATCGTCCGTCTCTACGGCACAGGCATCAGCACGCGCAAGAAATCATGCTGCTCGCTCTTGTAACGTTTTTCACGCTCCCGCTTTATGAAACAAATCGTTGGCGAGAGACTGTTGGGACCACACGTCAGAACTAGCATGACCTGTGATTGCTTGAACTGCCGTCAGACTGTACTTGAACGCTCCGCAAAAGCGTCGTCGGGCGACCGTCGTAGGGACGGCGTCCAGGACAGGCCCTCGGCTGGCCCTCGGTTCCGCCGCACGCGAATCTTTCTAACTCTGCGGAGAGAGCCATACATTTTGAAGATACGATCTTTTCAAATAACGAAATAAAACCGGGTAGAGCATAGTGAGAGTCAAGCATAGCTTAGCAAGCACACGGTACAAGACAAAGTTTGAAACAGCGGCGCACTTCGCAGAAACAAAAGTAACTTCCTCACCTTCGCTTGCACCAGTCGGCCATGACTGTCCGCCACTTGCGACGCTGTGTCTCACAGCTCTCAGTAATCGCTTGCTATTATTGAACATGGTATTCGTAAGTAAGATATCTAAAATATCCGCAAAAACGGCTAAAACGTAAAAAGGAAGCGATGCTCGAACTCCCCGGAACTCCAACGGCGGCCGAACTGGCCGAACGGAAGCTGATTGCAATAGCGATGGGCTTGCGCAGTTTTCAAAAGTCTTTTTTTTTTTTTTTTTTTTGAATACAAAACTAAGCAAATCAATATATTAATAATAGTAATGTCACTTTATTATATTCGTAAAATATTAACAAAACGTTTAGTCTATCTTAGGTTTTATCTAAACTTTCGGTTTTCTTTTTCAGTGTAAAACCGAAACTATCTCAAGCAATTTCTCCCTTGTCGCCAAGGCTATTTTGATTCATCAGCGCATGCTTGCACCGCTAGTATTTCGGCTTTTCTGGAAGGATCGGCTCTCGCGGCACATAAATAATGAGGGCAACCTCGTGTTTTGAAACAATTAGCGTGCCCGTCTTTTTTGACGAGGGAAAGACACGTTAAATTTACGTCGATTTTTTACAGTGTGAAAATCTCGATCGACGGTGTTGTTCGTTGTTGCAATTGTCAATCTGTTTTCACGTGAATTGAGATGTCTTAGAGTTTTGCAAGATGAATCTACACCATGAAACACTTTCGGTGAAAGCTTGAGGTTGTTACATAAAGGCGCCGATTTCTCCAGCCAATTTCAGAGCGAGCTTCCGTTCATAACATCACTTCGCTTACGCGGTTCAGAAGTTGATTTGCGCTGCATGCGACCATGCAAGGTGGAGGATCTTATGCCCCTATTATTAGCCGTGATTTCTTTTGCCTCCTGTCCTTTTGATTGCTGTGGATGCAGATATCTGAAACAGCGTATAGTACGCAGAGACCTGCATTACAAAAACACCGGATTATCCTACAAACGTAATTTGTCTACTAGCCTATGAGGCAGCACGCAAGTGGCGGTGCACTTTGAAAACAAAGTCATGTGCATGCTTTTTCATCAGCAACATCAAACACTTGGTGCGATTGCCCTCGATCGCCCAGCTTCCGAATAGTGCTAACAGTTTTTTTACAGTAAACCTTTATTCTTCAATAAAGGTAACAAATACAGCTCAGGGAAAATAAAAGCTATCTTTGCAATAAAAGTAGGCTGTTCAATTGATAAATATAGTAGAAATGACTAGCTAAAATAATTATTGACAAGTTAGATAACGCTACTTTCCGTGGCGTACAATGTAGCTAATTTTTCTATTTGTGCTTTTTTTTAGGCGTAAGTCCATGTTGCATTTGCAACGTAAGTATGCTCTGACAGTGCCGGTCGTTTCTCCGGGGAACTTTTGGACCACGTGGTCTGCAGTGAAATGAGAAATGAAGCATCCCTTTGTCACATTATGTCAGCTATACCCGGTGATATTTTTTAATCAACTGGTTTTAGGAAAATTGGGGGCTCATGTCATGTTGATGCACTCTTCATGTGTGTCGTGCGACTCGGCGGACATTACATGGGTGAATAACCGTGGCAACATCTTTTTAAGTAATTAAAATCCGTAAATTTACTTTTTTTTATTATTGCTGTTTTAGAGGCAGTCGTTATTGCAGCCTGACACAATCAAAACTATTCACGAAACAGCAAGGGGCTTTAAGATATTTATTTATCAAATCTCGCACTTTTTCTCTCGATTCAAGAACCACGCGCGGCAGGGGCGGGCAAAGTGGAGAGTGAAATTAGCGGTTTTGACATGGCATATCGGTGATGGCATGTTTGTTTGTGTTAGCGAGAACTTCTCATACTGGAGTTCTATGCATTATTTAATTTTCTAGTGAAGTTACAACCCTCATAAAGTGCTGTCGCATTCAGAATGAACGAAGTTGCACTCTTTTGAAAGCGTGCCTTTGGTGGATGCTCCAGCATCATATTTCCAACGGTTCGACTGAAGGGAATACGTAAGAATAGAATCCTGCGCTCTGTCCAGCGCGCTGTTTTTAATCAGGCGACGAAAGGCAGAGTTTTAGCTATGAATAACCCAAAACTCGTCACCTTTTCGCAAATTGTTTCAGTTGGGCTAGAGTTTATTCATAGCCCCTTTAAAATTGAAAATTCAACATGGTCGATTACACTGTCAATTACAAAAGCTAATTAGACAACGTATATGACGTTTATTTACTCATCTAATGTCCACCGAGCCCCACAAATATTCTGTGAAAACGGCATCGGCCTATCTATCGGGTTTTTAGTGTGTTGATGTTAAAAATCGCACTATATATACATATATATATACCCGTTATTATAATTTGAGTACACCGACTGCAAGCACTGAAAGTAGACCTTTAGTATACTTAAGTGCACTTTCTGTATACTGATTTTGAACTACATTTTACCGCGGGCAGTACGATTCTACTACATGTACTAGTTTTGTACGGACGAGTATACTTTCAGTCCACCGCCATTTTTACTGGAAGTATATACTTTAAGTACACTTAAAGTATACAATCAGTACAAAGACCGCACTGAAAGTATACTTTTAGTATACTTCAGTACACTTCGAGTGTACTGATTTTGAACGACTTTTCGCTAAGGGTTGGTCCAACGACACGAGAAGCCCGCTCGCCCGTCGGGAGCGTGTGAACTCCAGGATGTCGCGAGTGAGAGTCGTCAAAGTAGGTATGCTGCGGCCCGACACCGCGAGCACGTCTGTCGGGGGTTTACCAGCTCCGGTAGGAAAGTTTGCAGACGCGAGGCTAGGGTCGCCGCGAGGAGCTTGTAGTCACTGTTTAACAACGTTATCGGGCGCCATGCCCCGGGGTCGGCATGGTCGCCACCCTCCTTGGGGATGAGTACGATCCGTCCCAGCCGAAAGAATGGCGTTAGGAGGAGGTCTTCAAAGTAGACCCGCACGACAGCGGTAAAGAAGTTACCGAGAATGTGCCAGAACGTGCGGTAGAACTCCGCTGGGAGACCGTCCGGTCCTGGTGCGGAGCCGTTTTTCATCCGCTTCAAAACGTTTCACAGCTCGGTCGCGGACGGGGGCCGCCGCAGGCCCGCGTCATCCTCGGCGGAGATCTTGGGGAGGCCGCTGAGGAGAGGGTGCGAGGACACCGAATAGCGATCAACCGGCGCGTCCGACTGGGCCAGCGATCGGAAGTGGGCTGCGAAGCGACCATTGTCAAGGTGGCCGGGCGACCCCGATGCGGAGGGCGTCTGCTGTCTTTCAAAGGCTTGTAGGCTTGTGCGATGGGTGTAGCGCAGTACCTCCGGGTGGACCGACGGGCTCCCCTGAGCCTGCAAGACAGTAGCCGCGGTGGAGTCCCACCGAAGGTATCGTTCGTAGCGTCTCTGCAGCTGGTCGAGGTACGCCCTCATGAAGGGGGTCAAGGCGCCCCCTCGGCGGACGATACGGATTCGGAGTATAGTGTCTTGTAGAAGCCCTCGATGCCGTTCGCGGAGGTGCCGTCCCATCAGAGTGCTGAAGCTTTGCCATTGACCTTTTAGGCGGTCCCAAGACGCCGGCTCTGGGCGCACGCCCACTAGCGACTCCTTGACCAGGTTGCCTAGCGTGCGGCGCGTGGTCTCGTCGTGGAGGATCCTGGAATCCAGACGCCACGGACGTGGGGAGCGTGCGACGGCAGAGTCGAAGCAGAACTTGATAAGTAGCGGACGGTGATCGGAAATCTCTTCTGGGCACGACGGGAAGTCCACCGCAGTACAGGTCTGTAGCGCGGCAGATAGCGTGCGAGGCAAGTACAGCCGGTCTATGCGACTTCCCGAAGCCCCTCTGTTCCACGTCGACTGGTGGGTGGATCCATGCAGTAAGGACCATCCGTCTACGAGGTCGAAGTGCCTCACAAGCCGCCGAAGTTCACGGGCGGACCAGGTTGAGCGACCCTGACCAGGACCCCGAACGTCGGCGTTAGAGTCCAGAACGCAATTGAAGTCGCCGACCAAAAAGCACGGGCCCGCGTCGAGTAGATGCACGTCCAGGCTGCGGAAGTACTCGTGCTGGAAGGTCGATACAGTTGGTGCGTAGACAGTGACGAGGCGAAATTTTCGTTCACCGAAGAAAAAGTCCAAACGAAGAGTCCTTCCCTCCGTATCAAAAAGATAAGTGGCATTGCGCAGCAGACTGCGATTGCAGACAACCACGCCCACGCCCGTCGCGCGGCGCGGCGCGTAAGAAAAAAAAGCAGTCACAGAAAACCGGGATTCGAAATCCGCAACGTCACGGAAGCGGGCAAAGTTGGTGTCTTGTAAGCACAGAAGATCGCAGTTCTGCATCCTCGCGAAATGCATCACTTCAGTTTGCTTCGCTGGGTTTCGAAAGCCCCGCACATTCAGGGATAATATTCGAAGTGTGGCCAGTATAAAGTAAAAAGGGGGATAGGGACGCCGGCGTGTTGCTTAAAACGTGGAGCTGTCGGACGATGCTGGAGAGGGGTCCCGACGCGGGGGGGAGGACTTTCGCGGTTTCTTGGGGCACGTGGCTCGTGGGCCCCCACTGTCAGTTGAGCGGGAACCGCTGCTCCTGAGGGGACGCTTGGAGTCCTCGTGCATTAGTCGGTTCGAGTCGGACTCCGGTGTTTCAGTTGTGGTCGTATCCATACTGTCGGTCGGTGTCTCTGCGGGGCCACCTGGATCGGGGTTCTCGTCGATGACGAGGTGGTCGCTGTCGCTGGACACCTCGCCATCACCCGACGCTTGGCTCCACGCTGCATAGGTGGTGTCGCCGACAATAACCGCGGCGGTTCGGGCAGAGTCCGTCGCTTCGGCTGAAGTCACCCCCGAGCCGGTCGGGCTTGGCTCAGGTGGGGCGGGTGGGGGCGGCGACGGAAGAGGCGGTGGTGCGGCCGCGGCTGCGGCGTCAGGTGGTGACGGAGGGGCGACGGTGGAGACGGTTGGTACGGCCGTAGCTTCGGGGGCGATGGGACGGGTCGCGTTTCCTGGGTCCAGGGCCGGGAAATCGGTGGCGTAGTTTCCGGTGACCATGGAGGAGTAGCTTCTCTTGGCCGTGCAGTCCACAGTCGCGTGGGTTCCACCGCAGCGTCCACAGTTGGCAGTGCAGCCCTCGGTTGGGTGCCCGAAGACACCGCAGCGGTCGCAGTAGCCCGTCGTACACTGTGCCCGGACGTAGCCCTCCTGCCTGCAGCGTCGGCATACGCGCTTCAGGCCGCGGTAGTCAAAAGTAGCACGATGTCCGGCGACGCGCAGGAAGTTGGGCAGGGGGTTAGCCTCCTTCATCTCCATGCGGATGAAGCGGGTTCCTGTTTTCACAGTCGCCGTTCGGTGGTAGGTTGCGTAGGAGACGTCGATGACTTTGCCGTACGGGGCAAGGGCTTGGACGAGCTGGTCGTTGCGCACAAACGTCGGCAGGAAGAGGCAAGTCACATTCGTCATCTGCGGACCCGTCGGCACGATGGGGACTGACTGGTTGGCGATGGAGACGCTGCCGGCCTCACGAAGCTTGAGGGCGGCTGCACGGGTGTTGACGACGACTTGGAAGTTTGTACCTCCTAGGTGCTGCGCCGAGAAAATTTCGGGCAGCCCCACAATGGCGGATATCCCATCAATGAGATTGTCCGCCGATGTGCCTACTGGCACGACAACGTTGAAAGCGTGCGCTTTCGGCGGGGGAGAAGATTCCGTCGACGCGGCCGCCATGGCGGTTTGCACCCTCGCCGGGGCGCTCGACGACACGTAGCCAGGGACCGCAGAACGCAGGCCCCGGACGAGATGCAGCCAGGAAACCAGGAACTCAGGAACAGCGACGAGATGTTTCAGCTCCCTAGTGATCGCTAGTTTTGACCAATCCCATGGTTACACAGTTTCGAATGTAATTCGAAGTCACCCTGAACAAACCTCCCATAGGGCTCAAGTACCTGTCATATCACTTCTAAATTTTCTCGTCAATGGCAGCGTTTATGATACTGTGCATTCTGTCCAAACTTCAACCAGGCTGAGCCGCCGAAATCTCTTACCATATTATCATTCTCGTGATTGTTGTTTTAGCAGGAATTACTTAAAAGCCGAGAAATCACAACCAAAACCGGGATTTAGCTCGGATTCAGCGGAGCTGTTTATGACATTTTTAGCGTAACTTAATATCAGCGTCCTTGAAGCTGTACGAAAATGATAATAATGTAAGAGATATGTCTGCAGCTCATCCAAGTTGAAGGTTGGACGGAATGCGAAGTACTGACATTCGCGGGACATTTTATAATTGGTATGGCAGGTACTTGGGTTCTGTACGGCACGTGTTCAGGTTGACTCCGAATTGCACTCAAATCCGTGTAACCATAGAATTGGTCGAAATTTTCGATCACTATGCAGTTGAAGAAACACCGTCCCCATGATTAATCGAGTACGGGCCGAGGCGTTTGGGGGATTTAGCAAATTGTCTATTCGGGCGTAATGTTAACTTTGAAATAATTAAGCTACATTGAAATCCTCGTGACAACTAGCACAAATAATCTCAAACTTAAGCTTGTCAACGCTGAAGTTTTGGGATTATTTGTGCTAATATTTAGCTCGCGAACTACGAGTCATTCAGAGATCGCTAACAAAGATATTTTTTTACTTTTTAAACTTTTTAATATACTGAAAACCGGCCGCCAGATGAGTCTGTATATACGCCAGATAAGTCTGTATATACGCCATATCAGGCTGTATATATGCCAGATAAGTCTGTATATACGCCAAATAAGTCTGTATATACGCCATATCAGGCTTTATATACGCCAGATATATCTGTATATACTCCAGATTAGGCTGTATATAGGCCTTTAGAGTTTAAATCAAGGATTTCCAAAAATTTTGGTTAAGGGGCCGGACTGGGGACCTGTCGCAGTCTGGAGGGCCTGAAAACACATCAGGCTACTTAAATGAAGAACAAATAAATAAATAAGCAGAAATAAGCGCTTCTAAACAAACTTTAATAATCTAGAGTAGTGGTTCTCAACCATCGATGTTTCGTGGACCCCTTTTGGATTGTCGTAGATGATGGAGGACCCCGTTCTTGGTGAAGGGAAGGGAAATGTGTAGTTTAATTTTGATAGTGATTTAATAAATTGATAAAACTAAGGATTACTGTGAAGTATACTTGTCTTATTGACATATGCACCAGAAAACTTCCCCAAAAAGTGGAACGTTTCACATGATGGAAAAAACAGCTCAGAAAACACGGGCTACGAAGAGGAACACACACGGCAGGACAATGCTGTACTCGCAACTGAAGAATTTTAATAAAGGAAACAAAGACAGAAAAAACATACACAGTATCTTAAAAGATTGCACAAAAACAAAGGACCATTCTCGCCAACCGTGAAGCGTGTCAATAAACTACCCGTTCACTACGTGACTCATGTTTTGCCGCAGGAAGGAAATTTCTTTGGCTGACAGCGCCAATGGCGGTTCACTTACACAGGAATGACCATGACACAGAATGTGGAAGGCCTCAATGATTTCTCTCGTCACCCTATCCTTGTGCGCTCCCAGAACGGTGACTCTGCCAAAGTGCAGGCCGACACTGGCAATCTCTGCAATGAACGGGCAAAAGTCTCCCAACCGTATCTCCGAGCGAATATGAGTGCTCACGTAATCTATCATTCAGACATCTTCCTGTTTGCCCTACGTAGCACCTGTTACACGACAAAGGTATTTTATATACCACACACGAAACACAAGGGACAAAAGGTTTTCTGTGCGCCTTGGTGCACTTCGCGCTTGAACGACCAACTATCCCCGCACTAATCCTGGAACATATCTGGCCTATTTTTTGGGGCGCCGAAAACACTACAGGAATTCCATATCTGCCATTACCTTGTTTCAGGTTATGGGAAACACGGTGGAGGTAGGGGACCACTACCACCCGCTTCTTTTCTCTTTCCGGCCTCGACCTCTCCACTCCCTCAGCTTTCTTAAGAAGTGAACTGGCTACTTCCGCCAAGAGTGTCGACGGGAACCCCGACTCCTTCAATCTACTAATTTGTTTTCTAAAACTGTCGGTCATCTTGTGGGCACATGATTTTTTGAGGGCCGACCCAAGGCATGACACCGCTATGGACCTCTTAACCACCTTCGAATGGGAAGATCTAAAATCCAGTATCGCCTTTTTGGAGCGCGGACAAAACGACCAACATATAGTGTTATCACCCGGGTACATCGTCAAATCAAGTCAAATCAAGGAACTGTAGAGCCCCTTCCTTTGGCTCTTCACACGTAAATCTCAGGCCCCCACCACACTTCTCAAATGCGTCTAAAACTAAACACCGCGTATCGTCGTCTTCTACCCCCTCATACAAAATCAAAAAATCATCTACATATCGAAACACCGTTTTTACAGTCGACGCCCCCAAAGCACACGCCACAGC